CTTGGTGAGATTAGTACTCCCATTCCATCTGTGTGCTTGGCTCCCACGGTCAGTGATTCCCAGCTTGCGGCGCTTTCCCTGGGCTGTGTTGTCCAGGTTATTAACAGCTCGGAGGACCTGGTATTTGGTGGAGAGGTTGATTCATCGGGGTCACTGGGGCATGCAGGGGACTGTTCGCATCCACTTTATGACACCCCCGTAATCCAGTCCAGTAAATCGCTGGCTCTTGAGGCCCGGCCTGGCGTGCACAAGATGCCTGTGATTGCGGTTGACCGACTATGTCGGTCATCTGGACTGCGTCGACATCATAAGGGTGACACTCCTTCACGCCCGTTTTCACCACCTCCGGCCAGGAATAAGAAGGATTACCGGGACCATTCCCCATAAAGCCAGTAATCGCGCTCCCACAACAACTTCTGATGGCAGTTTCCATCATGAGTTCCAACATCTGTGGCCTACGTCAAGATGTTAGGAGAGATGCTTTCAGACAGTGGTTATCACACCATCACCCGGACATTGTCTGTTTACAGGAGACTCATGCAGTCTCTGTAGACAAAATGTCCAACTGGTTTCGTTCCACCGGCTATGAATGTGCCTCATCCCCTGGAACAAATCGTTCTCGTGGGGTGCCCATTCTTTACCGCTCTTCTCTCCAAGTCACTCAGCTTTGGAGTGATGATGTTGGTTGGTGGGTTCAAGCAGAGTTCTCTTGTCAGGTCACGGTGTTTAGGGTCGTCTCTCTGTACGCCCCAAACCGTAATCCTGACAGAGATTTATTTTTCATCCAGGTACAAGACGCAGTCGACCCGGGTATTCCTGTGATACTCGCGGGCGACTTTAATTCTGTCTTGGACCGTCGTGTTGATCGCAAAGGATCAGCCCCCCTCAGCACGTACTCTGAGAGTTCAGGAGCAATCCTGGACTTGATGAATGCTGCTGACTGTCATTATGCGTGAAGACACCTTCATCCTCGTGACAGTGGTTACACGTGGACGAAACCAGATGGGTCTATCTCCTCCCGAATTGATCTGATCCTCTTTCCGAAACAGTGGGCCCACGAGATGGGTGGGGCGAACATCGTGCCCTGCCCGTACTCTGATCATTCTGCCATCACTCTGAGTTTCCATGTCCCGGATACCATCGCACCTGGACCTTCGTTTTGGAAGCTCAACACATCCATCCTGGTCGAGCGCGAGTACCAGGACCTCATTGAGGCCTTGTGGGGGCAATGGCAAACTCGTCGCCACGAGTACCCTTCCCTTCAAACGTGTCGTTCGCGACATGTTCGACATCGTGATGACCTGGAAAGATTTCTACCGAGATCTCTTTACAGCGTCGCCTCTGGATGTCCAGATTCAGCACGACATATTTTCATATCCGGAGTACACACTCTCAGATGCTGAAGTCGCCTCCTGAAAGGGATCATTGACCGTTGGTGAAGCCTACGTGGCTCTCAAGGGTATGGCTAGGGATAAGAAACAGCCTGAAGCTAACATTTCTCTTACTTTCGAAATAAGAGTAAGTCTCCTGATTCGTCATTTTTTTGTCAACCAGCTTCTCCAGCTGAGATACAACTTGAAATATTATCTATCCCTAATAATAAGTCGCGCGGCCTATATTCCTGTTCAATAAACTTATTAAAGTATGAAAGTAGCTGTATCAAAGAAACAGCAGAAATTTTCAATTTAACTATACAGCTTGGATCATATCCATCAAAATTGAAAATGTCCAAAATAATACCAATTTATAAATCTGACGATGAATGTGATCCTAATAATTACAGACCAATTTCTTTACTCTCAAACTTTAACCGGATATTTGAAAAAATTATGTATTCAAGAGTGCAATCTTTTTTAGATGATAAAGAATAGCTTAATCATTCCCAATACGGATTTAGGAAAGCTCATTCAACACAACATGCTATAATTGATATCGTAAATGCGATTCGGACAAACATGGACAAACCGTTGCTTTCGTGTGGCATTTTTATCGATCTAAAWAAGGCATTTGATACTGTTAATCACAATATCTTATTATCAAAACTCTATCATTATGGATTTCGGGGAATAATTAATGATTGGTTTTCCTCATATCTTGAAGGCCGGACACAGACAACTCAATTAGGTTCACATATCTCTAATAAAGCTAAGATCACCTGTGGTGTGCCACAGGCTCTGTGTTAGGACCCTTATTATTTCTGATATCTATAAATAATATAAGTTCCTGCTCTGATCAATTTCATTTTTATCTATGTGCCGACGATACTAATATCATGTACTCTGACAAAAGTCTAAAGGTTTTAGAACATTCAGTGAATCGGGAATCAGAAAATGTTTACGACTGGTTGACCTCCAACAAACTTACTGTGAATATAAAAAATCAAACTATGTCATATTCCATCCACGTCAAAAACCTCTTCCTTTTCAACCTAAAATTTCTATTTTTGAAAACACAGAAAACAAGAAAATTACCCTTGAAAGCAAGGATTACGTTAAATATGTTGGAGTTTTCATTGATAAGAACCTAACATGGAAAGATCACATTCATTATATTTTAACAAAAATAAATAGATCTGTAGGTTTAATTTCTAAATTAAGGTATTTTATTCCAAGGCGTACACTTTTGACAATCTATCAATCTTTAATTGCACCATATATCAACTATGGCATTCTGGGGCCAGGCGTGTGCGACCCATCTTGACAATATATTGGTGCTGCAAAAAGCAGCTCTCCGATTCATTTTTTCCACCCAACGAAATGAACCTGCAATTCCATTGTTTACAAATGCTAAATTGTTACCTCTGCACTATGTATACTTTGAATCTGTGGCCAATCTTATGCAGGATGTAAGAAACAAAGCTGGCCCCTTAAACATTCAACTTTTATTCAGTGACGTCTCAAATTTTCAATCCTACAGAACACGTTCTTCTACATACAAGAACTTTTACACTAAACACTCAAGAACAAATGTTTTAAAGAATTCCTTTTCACATTTTGGTGCTAGGGTGTGGAATGAGATACCTTATGCTCTCAGGGAATTAACAAAAAAGAAATTCAAAAAGAAATTTCATGAAGTACTTTTAATGCTTCTTCATCAAGAGAATGCATATCTTGATGCATCTTCTATTTTAGATAAAATNCGTACACTTTTGACAATCTATCAATCTTTAATTGCTCCATATATTAACTATGGCATAACAGTCTGGGACCAGGCGTGTGCGACCCATCTTGACAAAATATTGGTGCTGCAAAAAAGAGCTCTCCGATTTATTTATTCCACCGAACGAAATGAACCTCCGATTCCATTGTTTACAGATGCTAAATTGTTACCTCTGCACTATGCATACTTTGAATATGTGGCCAATCTTATGCATTATGTAAGAAACAAAGCTGCCCCTTTAAACATTCAACTTTTATTCAGTGACGTCTCAGATATTCACTCCTACAGAATACGTTCTTCTACATCTAAAAACTTTTACATTAGACACTCAAGAACAAATGTTTTAAAGAATTCCTTTTCACATTTTGGTGATAGGGTGTGGAATGAGATACCTTGTACTGTCAGGGAATTAACAAAAAGAAATTCAAAAAGAAATTTCATGAAGTACTTTTAATGCTTCTTCATCAAGAGAATGCATATCTTGATGCATCTTCTATTTTAGATAAAATAAAAACTGTTAAAGTAAAATAAAAGTTTGAAATGTAAATATCTAATTATTTAATGTAAATACCTAATAATTCGTTAGACCAACCAACAATAAGAATATAATGTAAATAACAAATATTTTAAATATTTAATATTATTTTAATAATCTGGCCTGCCTAGACTAGCATAGCTAAATGCGGGTCAAGATTTATGCATGTAATTTATGTATGTATGTATGTACTAATCCCCCTGTCCAGCTCCGCTGGTCTTCCGACTTTCTTCCTACTTTGGGTACTTTTCTTGGTCCAGAGAAYTTGGAAGAACAGAACTTCCGTCCCAGAATCGAGTCCTTGACTAATGTCCTGGACTCGTGGCGTCAACGACAGCTCTCTTTCCGTGCAAAGAGCCTGGTCGTTAATACCTGGCTTTGTCGGGTCTGTGCTACACTGTTTCTGTGCTCGCTGTGCCAGAATGGGTTTGGGTTGACGTTGTCCGGGCATTCCATTCGTTCTTGTGGTCCAACAAGAAGGAATTGATTGCACGCGCTACAGTCTGTCAACCTACCATGGAGGGAGGAATCGGTTTCCCTTGCTTTAGGTATAGGGTTCTCGCACTCCATGGACAATGGGTCAGAAGATCCTTCGACTCCACGTCCCGGAAGTGGAAAGCCTTCTTCCAATATTTCAATAGTTCACGCCCGTCTACCCTGACGTAGTGTGGCCTGATGCCTGGCAACAGGTCCACTGCTGCGCGATTGAAAGGCACTGACCTCGCTTGGAAGATTGCGCACAGGTTCCTCTATACTGCAGCACGTCTTTCCAGCTTTGGTTGAAATCACGTGGATCCAACATGTTCCTGCGGCCATCCTCATGATGACATTCCTCACCTTTTCTTTGGTTGTCCCTTTGCCCAGAGGGCGCTTGGTTGGGTGTCCTCAGTGATTCATCGTGGCTTGGCCGATGCTCCTGACCGGACTGAACGCTGTGTCCGTGCTCCCTTTCTGTACGCATGTAAAAAACTAAAAAATTACCTGACACGGGAGATGCACTGTGATCATGAAGGCTTAGCTATTTCAAAAACAGTTGAATCTTTCTCGCGCCCGAAATCCAATTGAACAATGCAAAAGAATTGTAGCGCGATGACAACGTATAGCGCTGTCGCGTCCAATGGACTTAACGCCGGCTCGAGCATACCACGAAGGACCACAGTCCGATTCACATTTGAAATTTTACCAGATAAGATAAGTTTTATAGAAGCAGTGTGCCACAGTCTTCCTAAGGATGCGGCAAAGAGAGAACTATATGAGGGAACGACAAACGAGACGGGCACGAGGTAAGTCAACCTCGAAATACAACATGCGATACCTTCGCTCATCGGTGTTGGTAACTACAGGGCCAGAGTCTGGCACAAAGGCAACATGTGGATTTTGTGGAGAGCCATCACACTTTAAGAAAGATTGCCTGAAGCCCAAAAGACCGACAGATATGACGGAGACCACTACTACTGCAACCACAGAAGAACCTGACTCAGTGAAAACACAAGATACACCTCAAGAATCATCGAAGGCTAAGGACACTGAACAAACAATACTCACGAATGCAGCTGAAGATTCGGAGTCTGACTCGAGCTCTAAATCCGATTCCGGGACAGACTCTTCAGACGATGAAGAAAACAAAGACGAAGAAGATGAAACACAGGACCGAACAAGACCATGAAGATCCACACGGGAATCTCAAAAAGAACAACAACAAAAACCGAAGGAACAACCACAAAACATAACCACAGAACAGCCCATGGACGTTGTCACAACCAGGGCTGTTAAACGAACTTGAGCACCTAATTAACCTAACATAAAAACCTGTTTCAGGGACCACGGGGGGG